CGCGTGATTCAGAGCACGCCGTGCTCGTTATTTATAACTCGAGCATTTAAATGGTACTTTAGGTTCAACGACGTTCCCCATTCTCCCGCCATTTGCCGGATCTCTTCTCTCCACGACCTTCGTCGTATTCTCCCGGTGCTATTTCTTTCTCTCTCTCTCTCTCTCTCTCTCTTTCCTTTTTTTTTACTTCTTCTTTTTTAGTTTTTTCTTCTCTTTTCTTTTTCCGTTTATTTCTTCCCTTCCCTTCCCTTCCTTATCTCCCCGATCGTCCTGAACCGAAACGAATGTTTCCTCCTTCCGGATAGTAAAGGAATAAAATCCCTAGTCTCCCTACAAGTAACATAGCGGAATTTTCAACGACGGGTTCCATTCCAATAACCAAATGGAATATACTCTTTCGAATCTCGTAGGTAGGTACACCAGAATCGTTCCGTAGGATGCTCCAGTCGATTAGTTGGCGCAACGAACGAACCCTACACGCCCTTGAAAAGGCGCGCGCGACTTTTAATTGTAGACCGTGGTCAAAGTAGAAGGAGGCTATTATTCTTTCTCTCGTCGGTAACGTTGTCTGCTTCTCTCCACTCTTTTTCTCTCTTCCTTTCCCTTTTACCGATGCTTCTCGAGACATTTCGAAAGAGAAAGACAGACAGACAGAGAGAGAAAGAGAGAGAGAGAGAGAAAGAGAAAATAGAGAAAGAGAAAGGGAGAGAAAGAAAGAAAAGATAGAGAGAGAGAGAAAAGACAGAGAAAGAGAGAGAGAGAGAGAGAGAGAGAGAGAGAGAGAGAGTGAGTAGGATATAATAACAGAGCGCACGTCCGTCCATCCATGCTCGAAAGAAACGATCGTTCGTTTCTTCCTTCTTTCCTTCCTTCGTCCTTTCGTCTGGCAGCTTCATATACTTCCACTCTTGTAGAGGAAGAAAGCTCCATGGAATTCTGGTCAGACATGATTTTTCATCGAGCATTCCCATCTCCCTCCTTGTCCTTTTCTCTATCTCTTTCTACCGTGTATTATCTGTATCTACCTATAACGAAAAGTTGTTCGCCTTTTTTCTCCTTTTTTCTCCTTTTTTCTCCCTGGCGCTCGACCATTTATCATCCCCTAACACGATCGACGTTTGCTCCGTTTTTGGAAAAACTCATTGGCGCCACCTGGCCGGATGTCGGTACACGCTAATCGACCTACCTAAGTGGAAAAGGTTAATTTCGAAAAGTGTACAAGATAGATAGTTAGATAAAAATAGATAAAGTGTGTTCATCGATCAATTAACGTAACGTTAATAAGTCGATGGATATTATTCACGTCGTCGTTTAACTAGCACGCTTGTTATGAGAGAAAAGAGGAAAAAAGAAAAAAAAAAAAAAAAAAAAAAAGGAATAGAACGAAAAGAAAAGAGCACGAATTTACGAGGGGTATTGTCGAGGAATCGGTCTGTCGATTTTATATCGGATCGATCGATTTTCAAAAAAAAAAAAAAAAAAAAAAAAAAAAAAAAAAAAAAAAAAAAGAGGGGAGATAAGAAAAAAAAAAGGAACAAGAAATAATATCTTAGGTATTAGAAAATAATCGTGTCGTTTTATTCGGCTCGTTTTCGAAAGAAACAGGGAGGGAAAAAAAAAGCGAAAAAAAAAAAAAAGAAGTATAGTATCGTCGTCGGCATTCGGTATCCTTGATGTCTCAGAGTTCTCTCTCTCTCTCTCTCTCTCTCTCTCTCTCTCTCTCTCTCTCTCTCTCTCTCTCTCTCTCTCTCTTCTCTTTCTCTTTCTCTCTCATTTGGCTTACTTTGATGCTCTTTCGCTGAAGGACGGAACTTTGTCGGCGCGTTCACCCACGACGGCGGGCGCCATCGGGACACAATCCTTTGAGTCCTTTTCTTAACATTCTTACCGCTCAATGGAGATCACACGCCGTTCCCACTGTATCGTATTACAGGACGATGAAGGAGAGAAGAGTTGCGCAGGAAAGGGAGAAGAACGAACGAAGAAGCACTCTACGCAGTATTATACTCTTCCCCATTGCGAGAATAATACGAGTCCATTCATTGGCGATCAAGCGATTCACCCAAGACTCTTCTCTCTCTCTCTCTCTCTCTCTATCTCTCTCTCTCTCTCTCTCTTTCTCTCTTCTTAAAACGACGATTTTTTTCCTCTCGTTTCTTTTTTTTGCCGATCGTCAAACGATTCGAATGATTTATACGGAAAATATCAAATCTTAAAAGTAGAAGAAACGAATAAGTTGGATCGGATGGATCATATCGGTGCTCTTTCTCCTACATTCCTTTTTCTCTTCTCTCATTCCTTTCTTTTTTTCTTCTTCTTTATCTCTTTTTCTTTTCTTTCTCTCTTTTTCTTCCCACTTATCAACTTCGTATTACAAATCCTTTCGATATGAAATCCATCATTTATCCATCTGTCTGTTCGATGCTTTTCAATAATCTAATTTGATCGGATCGTATTATCATTGTTCACGAGACAAATCTCGTCCGTTAAGTTTCTTCTATCCTTTGGTGGAATAAGATAGGATTTGGGAGTGGGGAAAGGATCACGCTCTTTTATCTATCTACATTCTGTAGATTCATAAAAAGATATGCAATATATATACATATATATATATATATATATATATATATATATATATATATAAAATCTGAAAGAAGGTACTTGTTATGGTCAGCTATGGGCAATCGGACGGATTTTATCGGTGAAGCAAGCTAACGAGAAACCATTTTCATGCTAAAACCCATGAAATACCGTTTCGTAATGAACCGTGGAAGCTCCAACGAAATGGAAGCCGAGACGCGATCGTTAAAACCGAAGAACGAGCAACAGCTTTTCATTCGCGAGAGTAACGAGCCATGAGAGGAGACCAAGATAGAGGGGATGAGTGAAGATGAGAGAGTAGAAGGGATACGAGAGGGTGAGGTGAGATCGGGAAGGGGAAATCGAGTTATGTGTGTGCACGTCGTCAACTACGACGTAAACTGTCATGGTATAAGAGCGTGCTGTTCTCTCTCAGTCAAACTAAAAATCTTTCATTAAAGTAAATACGACCGATGAATATTCAACGGCACACCAATAATACCTATTACGTAGGACACGAGAGAAACGCAAACGCGCTTTCATTTCGAACAATTCGATGAGATGAGATATATACACTTCTGACAAGATACTTATTCAAAAAGTAAATCGAAAAATTCGTTAGAGCGTCGTTGAAAAATTCTTTGGTATATTAAAAAAATATAATTATTCTATCTCAAACGATAACGTAAACGCTTTAACAGTTTTGCAGCTGCCTTATGAATACCTCGTGAGATGTGGAAATAGAAAGCAACAACGACCTCCGGCAATCCCCGTTTAAATGTCACATTATAATAAAACGTTCTTACGTCAGAAGATACGCGAAGAGATCGAGGAAAGATCGAAATCGTAAGATATTCAATTATTAATCGTTCGTTTATGGGATTATATTATTTAATATCAATCGGATTAACTACTATCTCTTCTTTTTATTTCTCCCTCCCCCCCCCCCTCTCTCTCTCTCTCTCTCTCTCTCTCTTTCTCTCTTTTTCGTCAATATGTCGAGACGAGATAGAAATTCCTTAAAGAAGTAAAAAATCAATAGGACAAAGCGAATGAGAATAATATTGAAAGAAAGAAAAGAGAAAAAAAAGAATAAAAAAGAAAGAAAAAGGGAGCAATATATATATATATATATATATATATATATATATATATATATATATATATATATATATATATATATATATATATATATATATATATATATATATATATATATATATACTCGAAAGAAGAACGAAGAAGATTCGGAGGAAGCTCGGAGAAGATCGTATTGTTTTTTCGCCGATGGTTGCTGCCATCGCGTCACGTGACTTGAGCTCGCGGTCACGTGACCGCGGAGAGTTTTAATTGGTCGAAACACCGAGAAAGGAGGTACGAGTAAGGTATTCCGGAGCAGCGGCAGTCTCGCCACGTGGTGCGTCGAGAAAATTGCATCGTAACACTGAATTTATGCCGTCTTATAAAAGAGAAAGAGAGAGAGAGAGAATGAGAGAGAAAAGTAAGTACACACCTTTCTAAATTATTACTTAAACGTGCAGTATCGTACGACGTTAATGACTTTAATTACCGGTACAGTGATAATCATGTCGCCTTTATGTGGTTGATCAACCGGTCAAGATTTATCGGCCGATAGGAGGAAAAAAGAAAGAAAGAATGAAAGAAAGAAAGAAAAAAAAAAGAAACTCACGAATAAAAGAGTAAAGAATTGACAGAGTAGACCAATGATTACGTTACATTATCCGATCGATCAGATCTGAATTCAATAAGTGTCTACCATAAAGTCACGCCGATAATCGAAACAGGTTATAAACTTTCAATGTAACAGAATTAGTTCAAAAAGTTATTAACTCCGTCAAACGAGTTCGTTGCCAATGGATAAGTTGCTAATTGAAATTCTCCCGCGAAAAGAGATTTTCATCAGTGAACGTGTGTCCCTTACGGATTATTATCCTTGTCTCCCACGCTAATGCACAATACGCGCGGAGACCTTTTGCGGCATTGTCGGGGAAAGAAAAGAAGAAAAAGAAGAAGAAGTAAAAGTAGAAATAGAAGTAGAAAAAGTACAAGAAGAAAAAGAAAGAAGAAGAAGAAGAAGAAGAAGAAGAAGAATAAGAAGCAGCAAAGTAAAGAATAAAAGAGAATAAAAAGGTTTAGGAGGAACAAGGACGGTAAGAAGAAAGGCAAGAAGACGATGAGTATCGGTGTTCGCGGGGTCGAGCCACGTGACCGGCAGCGCGTTTTAATTGGTCGAAAGTGCAGTCGGTGTAGCGATGGAGGGAGCACGAGAAGCCTTAGAGTTCTTCAAGTAGGAAGGGATAGAAAGAGAGAGAGAGAGAGAGAGAGAGAGAGAGAGAGAGAGAGAGAGAGAGAGAGAGAGAGAGAGAGAGAGAGAGAGAGAGAGGGAGAAAGAGTGAGAGAGAGAGAGAGAAAGAGAGAGAGAGAGAGAGAGAGAGGAGTTCGTTAGGGTTGGCACGCGGATTAGACAATCGCGAGGTGGATACTTCGAAAAGAGGAGAAGAAGGAGAAGAAGGAGATGGAGGATGAGGAGGGGGTGCGAGGGCGGGCTTCCCCACCAGCCAACACCTTCGACGGTGGTAACGCGTTCCTCGATGTTCCTTCAGGACGACCCTGGCCACTCACGCACTCTCTTTCGCACGCACACAGAAGTACTCGGTCGTGCGTGTCGGACTGAACAGGAAAGAAAGAGAAAGATAAAAGGAGAAAGAGAGAAAAGGAGAGAGAGAGAGAGAGAAAGAGAGAGCTAAAGAAAGAGAGAGAAAGAGAGAGAAAGAGCGAAAGATCCGCCCTCCGTCCTCCTGTCGGCGGCTCCTCTTCTCTCTTGGCTTCGCGTGGGGGACGAAAAAGCTCAGTTATAATTGTTGGTCCTCGCAGACCGCACATATTCGCCGTACCTTCGCTAATTGTTACCTCCTACCTTCCGTGTACTTAATACTACCAAGTATTATTATCTCGTTTACTCGATCGACGATGAGAGTATAGATCAAGACGTAAATAGATCCAAACGGATAGTATCTAGATCGTATTAAGGATCGTGGACTTCGTTCGAAAAAATTTATCATACGAATCTAACGACTATGTGTCCGAAACAATGATGACGTAGACGTGTAGACATTAATTATCATCGTTTTATCGAGGTGTCGTCTGACGTTGCTTTTGGATTTAAACAAAAGAAGAAAAAAAAAAAAAAAAGGAAAGAAAGAACATTAAGAAAAGAAAACAAGAAAAAGGGAGAAAAGAGAAAGAAAACTTAAATTAGAAAAAAAGAAAAAGAAAAGAAAAAAAACAGACAAACATTTTGTGAGATAAAGTGGCGCTGTTTTCGGAAGAAAAACATTCGTTCGTCGGGAACGATCGAATAAAAGGAACTATTACGAGATTACAAGTAGAAGTTCAAGTGCAGTTCATTGGATTTGAAACATCCGATATGAATTGCGCTTACCAATATCCGCATCCGGCTCATCCGCAGAACGTTATGGCTATGGTGCCGACGACTTCCCAACAGAATCACGTTTCCTCGACTGATACGGAATATTTAGAGGTAATGCGAAGTAAGTCGAAGTTTTTACACTTCGATGTAATTATTATCTATTTGATAATTATTTGTTTTGTGGTAAAAGTTTTTTTTTGTTTTTTTTTTATAAATGCATGCGAATTGCGATAGAAATTATTCACTCAGATAATTTCTTTTCTTTTTTTCCTTTTCGAAGATGTTATATCTAAGAGAAAAAAAGAAAAAAAAAGAAAAAACGTTTCCTTAAAAAAAGAAAGAAATAAAAAAAACGATCTATCATTCAATAATAATAATAATAATAATAATAATAATATAATAATAATAATAATAATAATAATAATAATAATAATAATAATAATAATAATAATAATAATAATAATCATAATCATAATAATAATAACAATAATAATAACAATAATAATAACAATAATAATAACAATAATAATAATAATCATACGAATGATTCCTCTTTTTTCTTTCGCGGGAAATTTCAAAGGCCACGATCTAAAGTTTACGGAAGGCAAGTTACTGCCCAATATTTGACAGATCTTTATCGAACAGATCGGCGCCCTTCGGCTTCGACGTCCTGGGCGGTTCGGGTACGTCCCTTCGTTAATTGTTCATCTCCCGACGTCTAAAGCGACCAATACGATGCCTTTACGTAGCAATGATTCTCCTAAACGCACTGCCAATTCGACCGGCTGTCGTGCGTAATCCGATTTATCCGATTTATCCGATTGTCAATCGGAATCTTCCAATTCGATTTGATAACAGTATCGGGAGCAACAGTGTCGGGGAAAAATATAAGGAAATTTTGAAGGGATTCGAGGATATATCGTCGATTATTCGATAAATCAAATATAATATATAGTTATACAATTATTTTCTTTCTCCGTTCGATAATTTTCCTTTTTTTTTTTTTCTTTTTTTTTTGACGTTGATAATTTTTCTCTTCTTCTATTTTTTCTTCTTTTTTCCTTTTTTTTTATCGTCAATTGCAGCTTCTCTTGTCGTTGATTTATTACAATATTCGAGTATTAGTCAGAAAAGAGGAGTGATAATATGATAAGATAGTCCATCAGCGAGTACATTAGTCGTTAAACGAGCCACGTCGTCGTATTGAAATGAAAAAAGGAAAAAAAAAAAATGAAAACAAAAAAAAAAGATAAAAAAAAATAAAAAAAAAATAAAAAGAAAAGAACAGACAAAGAGAAATCGATATACGTAGGAGGTTAAACGCCAAACAGTTATAAGTGCACCGACTAACCGAGATTCAATGACGTAGTTATTGCCTACGCATGTGCTTTAAACACGTAGGATATAAGTTACTTAAGTTTTTAAAGGCGAGTTTAAATCTCGTTAGTTAATACCTAGTTACTAAGTTAATACCTAGAGATAACGTTCAATAAAAAATTTGATATATTTTCGTATCGTTCATTATCAGAAGACAGTTAGTTCTTTTCTTAGCAATCTAAAATTAGAATTGACATACTGTGAAAGATTGGAAAAATGTCAGCTTTGTGATCTCGAAGATATGCGAAGGAGAGAGAAAGAGAAAAGAAAAAAAAAGAAAGAAAGAAAAAGAGAGAGAAAAAGAGAGAGATGAAATGAAAGCAGTAGCGGAAGAAAGAGAGAGAAAGAGAGAGAAAGAGAGAGAGAGAGAGAGAGAGAGAGATGTGGCTAGGGGATATTAATATAAGGGCTCGATACGTAATTATAGTGATTACCGTATTGCCAGGAGGCGGACGAGGGCGTCCCTCAGTTTGCACGTCATTTTGCAATCTCAACTTCCAAGGAACATGCGCGTGAATTTGTCAGGGGTCCTTCACCGGACTAATTGTTTCCACCTTTATCATTAATTTTTCACGCTTTCTTCTTAAATAATTCATTCTTGATATTCGATTTTTCTCCGAGAATCGTCGAGATCATTTTTTGAAGTTTATCAAAAAAATAAAAAGAAAAAAAAAAGAAAGAAAAACTATGAGAGAGAGAGAGAGAGAGAGAGAGAGAGAGAGAGAGAGAAAGAGAGAGAAGTAGTAATCCTTTAATAAAAGTAAACGTTCTCGGGACTTGTTCTTAAAACGATCAGTGTCATTAACTAAGGCTCGTGAGGATTTATAAAGAGTTTTCGATTTGCGAGTGCGTGGACGTCAACGACGACGAGCTTGAAGGATCGTGACTATCTTTTGCATTAGAAACACTCCATAAATCTAAGAGGATAAGAGACGTCTCAGGGATATCGGTTGTACGGGAAGAAGAGTTGTATGGTTGTATTGAAGGGATACGACGAGGGTGGTGGTACAAGTAATATATACCAGGTTTTAAAGAGCAAACGAGAAACATGAGCAAAAACATGAACCACCATCCACAGATAGCGTTCGTTTCTCCTATGTACGCGAGCCATTAAATCTCAGTCTCAGAGCTTCCTTTCTTACATTTTTCTCTTCCTTTTGCCTTTTTCTTTTTTTTTTTTTCTTTTTTCTTCTTTCTTCCTCAGATATTTTCTCGTGAAACGTTAGCTTTTAATAAATATCTGCTTCGATAGGACAGTAAGATCGATTAGATATCTTAAACCGTATAAAAATAATATCTCGCGATATACTCTTAGAAATATCATTATCGCTTTCTCAAATTACATGCGAAATTCTTGTTAAACTTGTTGTATAATCCATATGCTCGATATGTCGTCTCTTAGTATTTAATGACTAGTATGAATAGTTTCATACGGGGAAGGCCATTTTTTTTCTTTCTTTATTTATTTTTCTTTTTTCTTTTTCTTTTTTTTTTTTTTTCTCAACTCCAAGAGGTGTACAATTAGCTGGCTCACAATTTAGGAATTGATCGATTAGAATAAGGAAAGAGGAAGGATAAAAATAATAATAATAATAATAATAATAATAATAATAATAATAATAATAATAACAATAATAATAATAATAATAATAATAATAATAATAATAATAATAATAATAAAAGAAAAAAAGAAATACAAAAAGAAAAACAACGGAAGAAGATTATAGGATACCACCGTTATATCTTTTACAAGAGAAAACTTTTAAGTCTTCGAACATCGTCGATAATCACGGATGAGAGAGTAAGAGAGAGAGAGAGAGAGAGAGAGAGAGAGAGAGAGAGAGAGAGAGAGAGAGAGAGAAAGAGAGAGAAAGAGAAAGAGAGAGAGAAAAGAAAAAAGAAAGAAGAAAAAAAGAAGAGCATGAGAGAAGCTTTAAGGTCGCATCGAAAGTTGCGTGCCATAAATTAAACAGGTGTGCTCGGCTTTCTTCAAAGAATACCTGTATATGTAGGTATACTTATATGCATTTGTTGAAGTTTGCTTTCTCTCTCTTTCTTTCTATCTATTGTGGACAAACCGTATGCAAGCGTTTGATTTATGGAACTTTGTGACAGAGCTGACACAATAATGTTTGTGGCGTGTTTTTAACAATCGATGATTCCGTATGAATCGATGCACCGATTTAATGGATTTTACGGGCACGAAATATCACGTAATTCATATTAACAAACGAAATGGTATCTTTTGTCTCTCTCTCTCTCTCTCTCTCTCTCTCTCCCTCTTTCTCTCTCTCTCTATCTTTTTTATTTAATTAATTTATTTATTTTTCTCTTCCTCCTTTTCCTGACATTCGTTGACGCCACGTATTATTCGAAAGAAACGAAAGGAAGAAAAAGGAAAAGAAAAAAAGAAAAAAAGAAAGAAAAATAAAAAGAAAAAAAAAAAGAATAATAAAAGGTACGAGAGAGATCGATGATCGATCGAAGTTAACGGATCGAGTAGTGATTAAGGGTTCTCTCAAGGTGGGTACTTACATGTATGCGTACACATTGTTAGGTATATCTACTTGGTAGGAACGCGAACAAGTTCACTGTTCATCTACAAGCTGCTGAAGGTGAATCTTCATTTTCGGATGGTCTTGGCTTCGGCTTTATACGATGCTTCTTCCCGAGGTAATTATTAGTCCATCAGCAACTCCCGATGGCCACATGGCTGTATAAAGAGGCTCTCTCTTTCTCTTTCTATCTCTCTCTCTCTCTCTTCCTCTCTTCCTCTTTCTCTCTCTCTATCTCTCTTTCTTCCTCTCTTTATCTCTTTCTTTCTTTCTCTCTCTTTTCCACTCAAGTCTCGACGCGGGCCATTTTCGCTCCACAAGGCCGCCCTGTCATTAACCGCCCCCGTGAAGGGGTCCCCCGGTCCCATTTTCCCTTTCAACCCTGCACTCGAGTAACGATCGCCGATTCATCGGCTTTCGAACGTCCGATATCGAATCGATCGGAATCACGGAAGTCGTTGAATTCTTCTTTAATACATCTAAGCTTTTAATAGAAGTAATTTTACCTTTAGAATATATACTTTCATTTATATAAGTACGATTAGATATATCTAATGCTAAAACTATAGTAAGATAAATATCTAACTATATAAATTTTCTTTCTCTTTCTCTCTCTCTCTCTCTTTCTATCATTTAATATCAACAACTATAAAAGACCAAGCGCTCTCTCTTTCTATCCACCGGTAATAATTTCCATGAAAAGTACACATGGCAATTAGTGCCAAACGCCGTTATTATCCTTTCAGATAGATATAACCGTGTTTTTAACGACTAGTTTTTACAATCTTTTAGAGCTCTAACATTCGTCATTATTCTTACGTAAATATTCTTAACATTGCAATTTCAAGATGATCATCGGGAGAAAGGAGATCTTTTATTTTTTTCTTCCTTTCTTTCTCTTTCTTCCTTCTCCTCTTTTTTTCACCCTTACCCCTCGAAGAATGCACATTATCCTTCTTCAACGTTCACTTCGTTTTCCAGACACTCACACAAACATACACACGCATACATACATACATACATACATACATACATACATACATACCATACATATATACCATACATATATACGTACATATATATACAAGCATTCCCATGAGAATGGATTGCAAAAGCAGTGAAGGTTCATTGAATGCGATTTTCCGTGATATCGCGCTGCTAGGCGCGCGCTTTCGACGT